CCCGGGCTGGGGAGAGCGGGAGCGTCTGTGGGAGAGGAAAGACAAGTGTTGAAAGCGGCGACGTCAACATCGTTAATCTCCCTTTCAGCTTGACCCTGTTTTCCTTCAGTTCTCACCCTGGCAAGGGAAGGTGTACATCTGTTTACTAATGAAACTTGCCCCTTGAAAAACCCATTCTTCCACGAAAATCAGCGGTTTGCCTTTTTTAAAGTAGCAAACCTTTAATTGTGGTTTGTTTTTTTGTTTTTTTTACTGTACTGTGTATGTGCTTTTAATGGCATCAAAGAGTTTGACCTTTGTGTTAATGTGCACAGGCAGTACTTTAGTGCAGGATTAAGACCTTAGCCAACTATTTAATTTAAATTCCTGACGTAATTCAGCAGCTCATTTATTTCTCATGTTTATCAAATCTCGCATTCACAGTGTCCATAAACATAAATCTGTTGCAGACCACTCCGTATTTGCACGCTGTGTTTTCTCAGCCCGCAGTGTAACTTCTCCTTTTGGGTTGGTCCTTCCAGATGATATTTAAATAGTGAATTCTCTTACCAGTACATATGGATTTTACAAGGCAGCGTAGCCAGAGCAGCTGATACAGCAAAATCAGGCAAACGCACTCTTTCTGATGCCATTATCCTTCTGTGCTTTGTTGGGGTATTACCATCAAGAGATTCTCCTTTTTGCTACCTCGGTCATAGCTAGGAATAATAATCTGTTTCAGTATATGGGGAAAGCTTGCTGTGAATAGGAGGAGTGTTGGGCTCGGAGCTGATCTTACGTGCTGCATGTCTGTAAAGCTTCCCTAATGTTACACTTTTTTTCCTTTCTGTGACTTTCAGATTCAGGAAGAGACAGAAATGTGGAAAATAAGGGAGTGGGAGAAGCAGACAGAAGAGACCTACTGGAAAAGGCAAAGCAGAATGCTGTCAGACACCTCCAGGTGGGTTTTAGTTGTGTGGAGGAGACAATTGTCTTGACTTAGTTGCTGAACCCTTTTGCGTTAGAATACTTTAAGAGAATTCTGTGATGACTATGTGTTTACTATATATGAAGACTACATAGACTCCAGATATATTGATTTTCTCCTTGATGAGTGTCCTGGAAAGAGGTCAGACTGGTGCTTAAGTCTGACCTTTTATCTCTTCATCTGGATGTATAGTCTCCAAAATGCAACGTTAACTAGGCCAGGCTCTCTGAAGCCATGGGAGTAGGAAGCGCTTCAGTGATATGTCAGAATGTTGTGGGGCAAGTCTAACGTATTGCCATTTAGGTTAGCAGTAAACAGAACTGCTGTGGTGTGGGGTCCTGCACTATTGTAACACACCAGTGTGTGGTTTCTGTTAAATCATTCTGACGTGCCTGAGGATCTCACAAGCTACCTGGAAACAAGCTGGTTTTGGCGGGAGAGTTGGGGTTTTACGGGGGGGAGGGGGAGCTTACTACTGTGAGGACTTCTCAGAAGCTTGAATATTGCAGGAAGTGGTTTTAGCATCTCGGGGGAGAAGACCTTTCAAACTTACGCTAAGTCCACAGCTGCTGCTTGGCTCAGGAAATGCAGCATTTGTGAGAAACCAAACTAGAGCCACAGGCATGTGAGATCACTCAACTGCTGGTGCTTTCTGTGGATTTGGGGTCTTAGTCCTGGTACCTGATCAAACTGCAATTCTAGTAAGTCAGTTCTACTTCTTCAGGTTCCCTTTTGCTGCTTTTACTAGCCTATGTCTCACTGCATATTGTTACTCTGCTCCTGCCAAGGATTCTACAGGAAGAGAATTGCATTTATTGTGATAGGCAAGATAACCTCTTCCTCTAATCTCGCGTTGTAAGCATCTCTGTCAAGAATTTTGCTGTGCGCAGAGGGCTATAGTGAGTCTTCAAAACCAGTGTTTGCTACTGAACTGGTTTTGTGAGAGCTGTTAATGGCGACTGTCTATTAAAATGATAGCTGATCTTCTTGCATAGATTGACATCCAAGACTTGCTGGATTTTTGCTCCTCTCGCTGGACTAACCCCTTGCTCAGAAAGTTTCTCCATCAGAGCTGACAGCTGAAGGACAACTGTTCTCTTTCTGCAGCAGCCGGATGCGCAGTGATGGCTTTGATGAGGAGGGCCACAGGGCTGACTGGAAAACAAAAAACTCACAATTTCTTGACCCAGTCGAAGATGATCTCCTTAGGGCCCGATCCTGGAATAAAAAGCTATATGAATGTGAAGCCAACATGCCAGACAGGTCTGTGGGGGAATTAATGGTCTGTGGTTATAACTGTAACTAAAACACCTTTCTGGAGTCCTGTACCAAGAAGTTAGTATATTTCTCTCTTCAGTATGTACTCCTATGAAATAATGCTTGATCTCATTTTGAGAGTGAATAGGTAACACGCATGAACTTCTGCAGTGTCACAGAATACCCGTGTTCATCTGTAGAGTTCCTGAATCACAGTAAGCAGCAAGAGCTCAGCCCTAAGCTTAGCAGCTAAGCTTAGTCTTTATTACTTTGCCCAAGGAACTTAAAAAGTCTCGAGAAATGCCAGTTAGCGCTCTCCAGGGTTATTTTAAAGAGATTTGAGTTGTAGTTTTCCCTACTTAGAAATGGGAAAGAGACTGAGAACATATTACCAAACAAATTAGTCATATTTCCTTCCTTCTTTGTTGGGAAGGTTCTGATATCCCTTCTTTGCTGTCTAAACTCACGTTCATTCTATGGCTCTGTCTTTTCAGAATTATATTTTTTCCTTAAGCACTTTGTCTGTTTCTAATAGATGGTTCTGCTTTCTTACAGATGGGGTCACAGTGGCTATAAAGAGTTGTATCCTGAAGAATTTGATACAGATAGGTAAGGGAAGCAGGCTTACTAATGTATCCCGAATCTTACTTCTGTCAACTTATGCAGGGAATTTTACAAACTGAATTTTAAAGTTGTGAAATTAAGTTTTGAGTATAGATCAGCCATGAATGTAAAGCAGCACTGTTTAGTTACAGACACCCGCTGAAAAAAATCCAGTCCATTAATATCGTTCCCCCTTGTCTGAGTCTTAGGAGGGGATTGCATCTTTTACAGTAGTTAAGACATTCAGCTTTAGTTTGAGTTACTAACATGGTGTGAATCTGGAAGGACTCTCTGGGCCAACAGAACACCAAAGTGGTAAGCTGAATCCAAATCAGCTCGGTATACACCCTCTCAAAGATCAGCTCCAGATTCTCCTTTCCGTTATAGTGTACGTGTATTTTCTGTGTTTCTCCTTATTGGGAGAAAATAAATTCTTCCACTATGCTGGAGAGTGAAGACTTAACTGTGAAATAAGATCTTAGAATCAATTCTTTTTAAACTACACCTGACAGAACCATCAAGTGCAATATTTGTGAGGCTTGCAGCTTTGAAGTCACCTGCTGTAAATTAGTTTGCATCACTCAGTGGCTTTCAGTACACATTCTCCTTGGTTCTGGCTCAAATATCCTAACCAGGGGTATTGTAAGGCGTGGACCCAAGCTGTTAATAAGCACTTGAAACAAAAACGCCGCTACCACATCTGTCAAAGGATCAGCTTCCCTACTCTAACCAAATGAATTGATGGGCTTGCTTGAAACTTTGAGACAGAAAAGGCTCAACTGCTCTGTGCCTGTCTGTCTGCTTCCACTTGGTCATCCTTTGTTCTTTTTACAGTGACCAGCAAGAAGGAGATGAACAAAATGCTATCAATGGGAAGAAGAAATCTCACGTGGGAAAGCAAACTGCCCATGAGTCGCACAAACGGAAAAAAACAAAGAAATCGCACAAGAAGAAGCAAAAAAAGCGATCACACAAAAAGCGAAAGAAAAAGAAAAAGGACCAGGGGAGAACATCATCAGATTCTTCTCGGGAGAGCGAGTGCTCAGAAGAGGAGACTTCAAGCACCCGGAAAGGGAAACACAAGCGCAAGAAAAAAACCAGGAAAGTGCCTGCCAGGGAACCTACCTCTTCATCTGGGCAGGAGAGTGACTTTTCTCATGCAAGCAGCTCAACCACCAGCAGCTCTGAGGACAGTGAATCTGAGGAGAAAAAGGAGAAACGGCCCCCAAAAAAGAGAAAGAAACTTCACAATTCTGTGTCAGAGGAGCCCATTGAAGTACCAGAGAAGAAGAACAAGAGGAAGAACTGGAAAGTGGCCGCTGATGAAAAATCAGAGGAGAGCTCGGATGAGGACTGATGAGTCTAGGCTGCAGCTCAAACAATAAGGTAGAGAGGCAGGTGTTATCTTTCAGCACTGCCCCATGGTAAAACTTGTTTCAACACTGTGGTTTATATACATCCTGCCAGCCCCCAGGGGAGAAACTGAGCCTTGGCAGCCTGAAGTAGGTGCCCCCTTGTTTTTCATTGACTTGACATTCGGAATACCAGGGGAGCAGTTGCCTGTCTCACAGGCTGGCTAGTCCTGCCAACTCCAGGTTCTTTTTCTGTGACCAGGTTGACCTCTGATGCACGAAAATGTTATAGGCTGCCTGCAGGGGGAAAACAGGCGTGTTTGCACCCTTTTTTGTAATTGAGTTTTAACAGATTGCTTTGTGGGTTACCAAATCAGTGACTAAGACTTACAATGGGAGAGGGGAGAGACAGAAAGTCTAATAACAGAGGAAATGCCACTGGATTTAACCCTACAGTAGCTTTGTCTTCTCATCCTCCAACAAAAGCAGACCTGTGTGGCAGCATGCGCATGGTCAGCTGGACACAGAAGGGAGCATGAGGGAATACTCTCATTCCATCTGAAGGTGCAGTTACTCCTTCTGTAATGATGAAGACAAGACACCAGTGTGTTTGCTTGTTTTAGACTTCTCTCCGAATTCTGGCGTGGGCTGGCCATTATGTCTACCTTTCCTTCATTCTCTAGGGGGATGCTGAAACCATTTGTGCCGACAGAGAAGCCTTGGTGGGTGTTGTGTTCTGTCTCTGGTCTGCCCAATGTATTAACTGGAGAAATTGGTACTGGGCTGTTCTCCCTGCAGCTGAACAGCCAAGCCTTTTAACAAAATAAATCCAGACGTGTTCAATGCTTTTGTCGTCGTTTTGGAGTAAAGCCCAGGGAGAGAGCACAGGCCTGAGACGTGCGGGTGGTCTTTGTGTTTTCCCTGCGCCGTGTGTTTTTGCCTGATCAGAGCAGGTGGCTGCAGAGGACTTAGAGGAGAAGTAAGGGAGGCTGGAGTGGAAAGCAGCTGTCGAGGAGATGCACTGTGCTGATGTGCATGGTGCCTATCAGTGACCAAGCACAGCTCTGGTTTTAGCTTACACCTAAAAAAAAAAAAAAAACAGTACAAAACAGTGCCAGTGCCCCTAGGCCCTCATTCGATGTCCTGCTGGCTGTCACTGCTCTGTGTGCCCTGTCTGCTGGCAAATGCAGGCGGCTTTGAGAAAGCAGAGCTGCGCTCTCGCTCACTGTTACAGCAGCTTCGGTGCTGGTCAGTCGTGCAACAGCAACGCCGCTGCTTTACGCGCAGCACAGGAGCTGGTCAGGAAGGTGTTCATTCTGTAGAGCTTCCCTCCTGCAAAGCTTTTCC